GGTGGGGGGGGGGGGCAAAGTGTGCGTCCACTCTTAGATAGGAGGACTCGTCATACAGCCTTATTACGCACGCAATTGCATCGCAACACCAGCGAAACCAGCAAAACCAGCAACACAAGCAATTAGGCAGTTAGCAGTTGTCCTCGTCTACTTTTTATTTTACAACCAATCGCATCCTTCGACTCCCGTTTCTCATCTTCCGCTCGAGTAACGTTTGGCCGAGTCTCTTACGCAATTCGGCAATCAAGAGAGTTTACTTTAATACGAACGAGTGAACGCGCCACTGTCGTCTAGTCACAAGTACCCGATATACCTTCCAGTCGTAGGTGTAACTTATAACACGCATCGTGTCCCACACGTCTCTGGACATCTATAGATATACTTGACTCCTGTGGCCATGCTACTTTGACCCGAAATTCAAGAGAACATTCAACCTTGTCCGTATTGAAGCTGAAGACGAAGACTCGAACAGGAGTCGAGTTACAGGAGGCTCGCAGTTAACTGGAGGATTCTTTATGAAAATTCAGGAGTTACGTATTCACTTGCATTCCCAGGAATAAATCAGAGGAGTCCACTGCACGGGAGACAGTTTTACTGGCTGACGTTGGGTAAAAGTGAAGACGCGCCGCGTGCTTCGCACCGGGAGCCCCAAGAAGGGAGGGAAGCGGAGAGAAGATAAATAAAGATAATTTCGAGGAAACGAGGAAAACGAGGAAAACGAGGAAACACAAGAAAGAAATTGAAAATGATTGAAGGAAAATGACAGAGCCTGACTTGGCGTCTGGAGTCGTGTGTACGTTTACGAGTTAATGGGAAAAATCAAAGGTCCAAGACGAGAGGAGGCTGCAGTGCTCCAGGGCAGAAAGGCAAAGAGCCAGGAGATCCTTCTGGTCAAGGAATCGATTCTCTCGGCAAAGACGTAGACGTATTCGATCCACTGCTCTGTCACTGGTTACGTTGGGATACGAGGAGTTACGGGGGCAAATAGAAATGCAAAAATGAAATGAAGGCCTCGCGACGCCTTCGTCGGAGAGTCGAGGTTGGAGGCCGGGGACCACTTGGAGAGCGATATCAATATATATGGTTATTAGCTGGATATTCATTAGCATTTTGACATAAACTAGTTTTCGAAACGAGCCCAATGACTTTTAACGTAACGTTCGAGACGGTTGTGGTTGTAACCTTGATCTCCAGGTCTCGGGTACGCTAAATATAGACGGAAGTAGATTCATTCATAATTGATTATGTAAAGGGGCGAGTTCGATGAGTATAAAGTCCCTATCGGCTCCACCGGACCTGGCGGAGGCTCCTTCGACGAGGCAGAAGGATCTTGTCGTTAGTTTCGCGCCAAGGCGAAGGAGAGCAGCCGGCAGCTGGACGGCGAAGTCGTTTAACAAAAATGAATAATTGTCCAAGTAATATAAATCGATTAATCGAATGAAGGATGATGACTCAAGATCGATTGTAGACCGATCGAAAAAGTGAACGTTGAGCAGCAGGATATTCGGGTCAAATGGATATCGGGTTCCTTTCTACGCACTGCTTTTTCTCTTGGCTCTCTCTCTCTCTCTCTCTCTCTCTCTCTCTCTCTCTCTCCTTCTTCTTCTCTCTCTGTGTCTCTCCCTGCCCTCTTTCACCATCGAGGATGCTTCTCAGAGATGAGAAAACTTTTGATTTCACAAGATCTCCCTGCGTCCAGCACAAACAAACTCTCTCTGTGTCTCTCCCTGCCCTCTTTCACCATCGAGGATGCTTCTCAGAGATGAGAAAACTTTTGATTTCACAAGATCTCCCTGCGTCCAGCACAAACAAACTTTAGACGTAGCTGGGGGATTTGAAGAACCAAACGATGACAAGGTCGAAGATAATCTCATCAAGACGTTTTACTCTCGTCGGATGGAATCTCTTGGACCAGACACAGATTTATGAAGGCAAACTTTTATTTATTCTTGGACGCTGCACGTCTCAGGATACCGAAGCCTTTCACCGACGGTGTCCTGGCCCGGTTTGCCTCCCTTTTTCAAAGCGCTTCGTCCTATTCATCTCGGTTGCAAATTCAATTGGGAAAAATTCCCAGGTCAAAAGTCCTGGCTGGTTGCGTAGAAAGAAAGAGTCTTTTTCTCCTCTCTCGTGCTGCTACTTGACAGAGTAATTCTTCTCTTTTTCAAGGACGCGACTGGGCACAATGAGAGATTTAGAAAGACGTCTCAGCTAGTATTTCATAATAGTCAGCCTTTCACCGGGACGGCACCAAATTTACGTATATCGCGACGATTAGGCTTCTCGTGTAACGCGAGGATGAAAAAGGAGGAATTTCCCCACATGTACTGGAGAGAAGGAAGGAGCGCGAGGGGTGGGAGGAGAGAGCGAGAGAGAGAGACAGAGAGAGAGAGAGAGAGAGAGACATGTACTTGCGTTGAACAAATGACTTCCGCATGATCGTCGTCATGTTTCTTGAGCTAGACATCCTTTTCACCTGGTCTCGCAATTGGAGAATCCAAAAATTGTACTTGTAAGGCCCAAAGATTTTGCGTTCTTGTTAGGCCACCTTGTATTATGACGGTTTTCGAAAAAAAAAAGAAAAAGAAAAGTAAATTTCGTTAAAAATTGGATGGTCGTTTGCGATCGAGTCGATCAAATATCACATGACGTTTGAAGGATGGAAGAAAGACGATAATGTGGAAATATGGAGATAAAAAATAATATTAAGATCTTGAAAGAACATTTGACTAGGCAGAGTAACTGAACTCAGAGGAGATTTGCAATAGCTCTGTCGCATCTCATAGGTGATGGGTCGGCTCGAGTGGGGCCCGAGCTGGCCCGTATAAAAGGGGGCCTCAAGACAACCACGGAGCATCAGTCCTCAAATCAAGGAACAGCAGCAACCATGAGGGCATTCATGGTGAGTAGCATCCTTCCATCCTTCCATCCTTCCATCATTCCTCCATTCATTTTACACCTCGTTCTACCATTATGTCATCTGTCATCTCTAGTTCTCTTCTCAATTATCCCGGATACCAATTATTCTCCTCTCTTTATCACTCTCTCTCTCTCTCTCTCTCTCTCTCTCTCTCTCTCTCTCTCTCTCTCTCTCTCTCTCTCTCTCTCTCTCTCACTCCATCTCGAAAACTGTATACCATGTGAATCCTGACGGCGAACAACGGAGATACTTTGAAGCTCGGAACGGAAATCAAAGGATATTATACACTGGAGACGGGACGTAACGCGAGAAAGCAGGAGAGACAGTAGAGACACGAGAAGGCTTGCGAATAATCAGAGAATCTATTATCAAGTGTAATGGAGGGGAGAGAAGAAAAGAGAGAGAGAGAGAGAGAGAGAGAGAGAGAGAGAGAGAGAGGGAAAAGAGAATCAGTGTTGGTCCCGTTTCTTCTTTCCAACTGGAGGAACGGTGCGTGTCTCAGATTGACGTGAACGTAGGGGCAACCGAAATGCTTCGAAGGATAAACGATGTTGATTGATTTTCATTGATAAAAAATGAAATAGATAACAGATTGAGGAAACTAAAGGAGAAACTTATGATTTGCAGATCGTGGCGCTTGCCGCGGTGGCGATGGCGCGACCGGAAGCCGGATACTCGTACTCCCAGCCTAGCGGAAGTTACGGAGTGCCTGGAAGTGGTGGCGGAAGTCTTGGAGGAAGTCTGGGAGGTATCAGTCTAGGAGGTCTCGGAGGTGGTGTCGGAGGTGGCCATGGAGGTGGTCTCGGAGGAGGTCTCGGAGGAGGTCTTGGCGGAGGTCTCGGAGGTGGTCATGGAGGATCTTTCTCGGGAGGATTCAGTTCCAGCAGCGCCAGTGGTTTCGGTGGCTCCATTGGGGGTAGCGGACTCGGTGGAGGTTTTGGCGGTGGCTCTGGAGGTGGATTCGGAGGTGGTTCCGGAGGTGGTTTCGGAGGTGGATTCGGAGGTGGTTCTGGAGGTGGATTCGGAGGCGGCTTCGGTTCCGGCGGTGGATCTCTTATTCAGAAGCACATCTACGTTCATGTTCCGCCACCAGAAGCACCGGAAGACAGACCCGCAAGGCCGATCGCACCTCCCCCACCACCCCAAAAGCACTACAAGATCATCTTCATTAAGGCCCCAACTCCACCAACCCCAACTGCCCCAGTGATCCCAGCCCTGCCACAGCAGGACGAGCAGAAGACTCTCATCTACGTCTTGGTAAAGAAACCGGAAGAGGCGCCAGAACTCAACCTGCCTACGATCGCACCAACTCAGCCAAGCAAGCCAGAGGTTTACTTCATCAAGTACAAGACTCAGGTAAGTCGTCTCTTCAACTAATGAACTCATTATCGTTATCTCCTAATAATCGTATCGATTATATCACCTTGCAGAAGGAAGTGACTTCTGGAGGCGGCGGTGGTGGCGGCATCATCGGCGGAGGTTCCGGATCTGGAATTGGCGGTGGAATTGGTGACGGACATGGCGGAGGAATCGGCGGAGGAATCGGCGGAGGAATCGGCGGTGGAATCGGCGGTGGAATCGGCGGCGGAACTGGACCCAGCGGACCCAGCTCAAACTACGGACCACCCGGTGGATCGGGTCCCTACTAGTCAACTTAATTAACTTACCTTCTTTCCTTTTGCGTTCTACAACATGACCCACCCATCCACCCACACTCTACACAAAAAGACACACACACACAGCCGCACACGGGAAAACACGCACACGAGGAGTGAGAAGCGAAAAGCGAAAAGCGAAAAGCGAAGCGCAACCCTGTACCATATAAAGATCAAGCGACTCGATGATATTATTTTTATACGACTGTATTATATAAGGGAGCATACGACGACGACGACAACGTTGCTAATGATAATGATAATGATGATGTTGACGACGACGACGATGCTACTGATTATGATTATGATGATGATGATGATGACGAGGAGATGTTTTTTATACCTATTTTTTGCAAGAAAACGGTGGCGAAATAAAGCTTTTTTATGTATTTTTACATAAAACCCCGAAGCCTCTAATGTCTCGACAGTCCCATCTGATCAGCGAAGATCCAGCAGTGCGAAATGGCTGAGTTGTTGAAAAATTCCGGGGATTCGCAAGAGTAGTTTTCAATTCGAAAAGGTTTCCTTTATTCCGTCTTTGTTGTTTCGTGCCAACCGGCAAACTGCCAGGAGCTACTTTCACCGAGCTAATTCAAACGAATAAATAAATGACTTACTGATTGTCAGTGAGTCTGTCAATGAGTGGGAACGAGATAGACGCTTGTGCGTCATTCGTACCATTGGATTGGAAGAATCGCACGGCTTCCTAGCTGGCTGCCTGCCTGCCTGTCTAGCTGAGGTGTCTCCCGTGAATTAAGAGACCCTACCGAAGCCGGAAGAGGTGAGAAAGTCAAGCAGGAAGAGAAGAAGAGATCAGCAGGTAGAAATCGAGATGAAGCGTATTCAAGATACAGAAAGGGAAAAGATATGGAAAATGGAAGAAAGGGATTCTTGAGTGAAAGCGAATTCCCGTCGACGCCATTGATCGAAGCGAAAGAATTTTAGGTAGACAATCTTGCCCCGGCACTGGATACAGGCTGCATACATTGAATGTACAGTGCCGTTCAAATGCACAGGGCTCCTGCTCGGCGCAGCAGATCGGAGTCAGAAAATAATCGAAGAGAGAATGGAGCGAACGCGGCTTACAGCCACGAGGCAACTTTCACGTAGAACTTTATTTTTTTCAGCTTAACCGAAGTCGATCGGACGTTGCCCACGTGAAGAAGGAGGATGCGAGGAAGGAGGGGACGGAGGTGGACGAGCGTGTAAAAAAAACTTTCGAAAGGTCAGTCGCCGGCCTCCTTAAAAAAAACCGGGACATCTTCGAACGACGACGCATCGTCTCCCCACTCGTTCCGATATCCCCAGGATCATCGAGAGGACGCAGGAGCATCGTCCCCGTGATCTTGCACAGCCTGAAGCACGACTCCTCGGTCCCTGGCTCTAAACTCACTGATACACAATTCAGAATGGACTCTCTTCCTGGGCCAATTTGCAAATTAGAAAGCTATTGATTTCCGAAAGAGATAGTGCCACATTACGGCTCAATTGCTATTAGTTTACATGGATTCTCAGAGTTTTTGGAAAACTAAGCCACCGTGTCGATCCAAAGTCCATAGTCCCCATGAAAATCTTAAGAGGACCGGTTTTAATTATTACTCGAGAATATTCCGAATCCAACGAAGGAGGACGAGGGTGCTAGTGGATGTGGCAGTATGACTGTATCGTCGTCCGTGAGACTGCGCGTAGATTGCGTACGTGATACTAGCATGTGTTTGCTATGAGCCTTGGAAAGGGGAGACGCCGAAGACCTCGGTGGTGCATTCCGAGTGCATTCCGAGTGCATTTTACGGCAAATAGATACGATAAGCACGACGTGCAGGTTACAAGACCATTTGCACTCCCTCTAGGTCCCACAAGGTTCACTCGAATATATATATTTCGTATTAGTGAAAGAGACCATGTGTTCCCTATGTGTTCAATGATTCGTGTGTGTGTGTGTACTCCTTGCATTAGAGTGCTGTCTATGGCCTTTACGTTGACCCATGCTTTCACCCGGTAGCGTCTCCAATGGTCACCTACTTCACCGATTCTGACGTAATTCCTCCGAAGGAAAGAAACCAGGGAGGCGGGATGAACGGACGAGCATAAAGGTGTAGGAACGAAGAAAAGTATAAAAAATGAACGAAAAGAGGTACAAAAATCGTAACCATTATAATGAAATGCATGACCGTCGCCGATGCGAATAGCCGATAAACATTTACGTTCTTTCTAGCCGTGTGCGTCTCTTGCAGATATTAAGGCATGCTACTGGTACGCACACGATTCTGCGAGTGTGTGAAAAAAATATAGTGACGTGACGTGATTTTCCCGCGGCATCCGAAGACTGCTAAACTTTCGCACGTTCTCCAATTTTCGCAAATAGCAAAACGAGCAAGAGGAAAGATCGACACGTTTCTCTGGGAACGTGTATAGGAATACATAAGAGATGCTGGCGAATTTACAAAAGAGGAACAAGTGACAGACGCGCAGACGAATAGAAATGACAGTTGTACAGGATTCTTTACCGATGATTAAATTGTTATGCCTTCGGCAATGTTCTTTTACTTCTTACCTTTTTCCCATACTCTCTCCCAGGCAAGAAGGATGTTCCGGCAGGGATGACTTCCTGGTGGGCAACCTTCTAGCGCTCCCTCTTGTCGTGACGCCCAAGTCAACCAGTCCGAACTGGCAAAAGACATTTTCTCTGTGGCTGGTTACCTGATGAGGTGCGCCGAGACTTCTTTACCGACGAGAGGTCATCACCTGGAACTGATTTCAAGGTATCAATGCTGCATGATTTTATTTATCGACCAGCGTGAGAGAGAGGAAGAGACAGAACCATCGGAGAGAATTGCAGTTAGGAGTTCTGACGAGGAAGAAAAAAATGGAAGGTCAGTAGGGAAGCCGAGTAAGGAGTGATGCGAAGCGCGAGCATTTCGCAGAAAGTAGTTCAATGCGGAAACCGAGTAATTTCGCCAAAATGGAAAGGAAGACCACCGACAATGGGACATGGCTCGGTTTCCCTCGGTAAATCCTCCGAGCGTCAAAATGTTTAACTTGTGTTAAGGAAAGTCATTGGCCGTGCTTTTACGCGAAAGGTATGTTTCCTCTTGAAAAATGTCCGAGTATTTTGGTTCGCTTACATCAGTGTCGCCTGTCTACAATTCGGGGATTTAAATCATTAAACTTTATAAGGTGGAAGTAATGACTCGAATCATTTGGCATTTTAACACATCGAAGTGCCGAGTTGCCATTCGGGTCTGCGAAACTTTCCCCGAAGTACGTTGGAGGAAAGTTAGTCGGCAGTAATTAGGGATCCGATGCTTATCGAGTTCTCGTTAAAGTAGAGCTCGAGTCCACCTGTCTGGAATTTGCCATAATTTTCATTGGAAAAATGAGTAAGTCAGCTGATGGCATTCGATTTCCCGAAAATGGGAAAATGGTTAGAGAGATCAGAGCCCCAGTCAGGAATTCGTATTTGAGTCGTGAAAGTGTCACGTGTGCTGGGTCACAGGTCGAGCCACGTCGAGGTGGCCATGGAATTTTGGGGGATTACGGAATATTCGAAAATCTAACGGTTCGCCATGGGGTGGATTTTCACTAAAGTCATTAAGCTATTTAAGGGAAGCTCCCGAAGCTCTGCCGATCAGTATACTAGTGACACTTGGACGTACTGTGGCCGCGCGTTATTATTTATTTATTTAATATTTATTAGAATAGCAGCAAGACAGAGTTTCGAGTTAAAGATGCTGGGCAAGGTTAGTGGTAGTGTTGGTGGCACTGATACTGGGAAAGGAGGCAGCCAAATGAGAGAAAGAGGAAACCTGGCAGCAACCTAGAATAGCGGATCTTTAAAAATCTCGAGGATCGAGGACGAGAGCCAAGTGCAACTCGGCATTTCACTCGCGCCAACTGATTTCTCGATTAATTGCACCGCGCACTAAAATCTGACTTAAGCTTATTCATAGGCCGCTGAGGTGATGCAAAGGCGCGCACGACAGTTAATCATAATAATTCAACTTAATAGGTAGCCGAGCAAAGAATTCCTTCAGACACTGATAGCTTCACTCTTCTGTTCGTTATTTTAATTTTTAGGTTACTTAAATCTTTTCGAGAGTTAACACGGAGATTTCAGACACACGAGTGACATTTAGTATTTTCTACCATTTTGATGTTTGTCCAGTATAAATGAATTTTAATTCTTTTTTTTATTCTTACTTTCTCAGATCGTCTGGCTGTTAATCGTGGGCACCGTTCTAGGTGCTCCCCTTCAGGATGATCTTACCCAAGAGGATGATCAGCGTCCACGTTCCTCCAGGAGCATCTGGCCGTTCACTTCAGGCAACACGGAACCGCCTATCCCCACTGATGAGAATTTCTTTCTCTCCGAAGACACAGTCCTTCCCGAGGGAATCGACCTGAATAGGTATCCCTTGTGGAAGATCCACAAGTATCAGGGAATCGACCTGAAGCCGGTCCAGGTCCAGCAGGTGGCTCCTTATCCACCTGAATCTGTCGCAGTGGACGCCTCGCGTTTCGACGCCTCATCGGACGGACGCCAAACGTCCTATCAGACAGGATACAATAATTTCGTTGAATCGAAAATCGTAACTCACCAAGATACAGAAGGTGGACCTTATCCACCGGAAACGGAAAATTCTGCAAAGGAAACTGCTCCGTATCCTCCTCAAGTGGAGGCCGTCTATCCACCGGAAACTCCTTCCTTCCAGAACGGTGAATTTCAAAGTTCCGACTATTGGAATTCTGAAAATTCACGACAGAAATTCACCGGTTACGCACTTCCCGTCGAGGATACTCCTCCCGCAGTACCACATTCTACGTACGGTGTTCCGGGATACCTTCCACCGGTGGAAGACACACGACCGGTGGTGCCACATTCCACATACGGCGTCCCAGAAGCATACCAGGCACCGAACTTTGCCCACCAGCAATCCTCAGGGTTTCAGGAGCAGCAAGACTCTGGCAGCAAGCCTGATCTGAGCTTCCTCGACAACCTGGGGGGTCTGGCACCCTTTCTACCGGAACCCGAAGGCCAGACGGAAGCGCCCTCGGGAGGATTCCTTCAGAGTCTAATCTCCAGGATACGTGGAGCCACTGAGGCCCCTGCGATCACAGATGAGGCTGTTACAGAGGAACCCGTACAGAGTGGTGGTTTTCTTTCCTCCATCTTCGGATCATCACAGTCTACTGGGCAAACATCCTCATCCGGAGGATCGATCCTGTCATCCTTATTCTATAAAAGGGAGGAACCAGCGCCAGCGCCAGCACAAGAACCACTCCCACCACCGGTACCGGCGACCACCTACTATCTACCCGAGACCAAAGGTTCCTACGTGGCCGTGAAATTGCCTCCAGGAGTCCAGAGTGGGTTCGTGCCAAACCTGGGTCCCCACGTCGGCACGATACCTTTCCACGAGGCACCCAAGGTATCCTTTGTCCCTGATGCTATTCCACAGATCTCCGCAGCAACGGCATTCCGTGGAACTCAAGAAAGGAACGCAGCCTCTCACACTGCAGCATCGGCTCATCAGATCCATCACACTGACGTCAAATTTCCAAATGCTCAGGATTCCACAGTTCATTCAGCAGCGTCTCAAGCATACGAAGCCCCTTCCGAGTCTTCAGATATCTCACAAATTGGCAACTACTCGCCATCAGCAGCTTATCAAGTACACCTAAGTAGTTCCAACGAGGAGAGAAATGCGAATTACCAACAGAGACAGAATAGCCAGACGGTCCACGTGGACAGCCAACTCCTTGTAGCAGCTCAGCCTACCAGAAGTAACTCAGAGACCTCAGTGAGAATAGACGGAGGAAATTCAGAAAAACACGAGAGTCATCACAATAGTCAGAGCCAGAGTAGTTTTGTAATAAATCATCAGGAACGAAGGGAGCCAGTGGATTATCAGCAGCAGATCCCAAGGGACACTGGATCCTATCAGGAGCCTACACCCATTTACCAAATATCCCCATCAGCTTACAGGGCTCCCATAAATCCTCCAGGACCCATAGAGCACTATGATAACCTTCCGGTACACACAGCTGTCAATTTCAGAGACACGTCCTTCCAACAGGATAACAGAAATCAAGTGGAGAAGCAACAGTTATCATCCTTAACGTCCTACGGGACTCCGACGTTATCCTATCACGATGAACCTTTCCTGGCGTCACCCTCAGTCATGTCCGAGGTTATCGTAGAGACTCCTAATCAGGATGGGGCATCCCTAGTGAACGAAGAACTTCCCAAGGAATCAGAAACTGCCACGAAGGACTCGATCGCGGAGGAAACGAAACTGAAAGGGCAAATAAGAAGAAGGTCCTCCCCGGAAAGACAAGCTCCAGCAGATGATGAAAGGTCCTCAGTATACAGGACTCAGGTCGATCTCGTTCCTGACGTAAGAGAAGGTCGTCATTATGAAGGCACCATGATAACCGATGGCTACTCCAAAGTCAAGGAAATCATTCCTACTAGCACGTCCTGAATATCTTTAATTGTAGATACCACAGGTATATAGTACCTGGTGTGACAGATAAAATCTTTCCAATAGGTCTAATGGTTCCTGTACATAGAATTTTAAAATAAAATATTCGAAATAGGTGAATTTGCCACACAGATACCTAGAATTTCGTATTCTGCGCATTCGCTTTCGTTTCATTCTGCTGCCCATTGCGATGCAACCTGGTCGCTATAAATCCATCACGATTTCACCAGGTTGTCCAGTGCTTCCAACCTATACCTGGAGTCCTTGAAACTTGATATTTCCGAATAAGAATAACGCGCGCGCATCGTACGCATCGTACGCATTGTACGCAGGGTCCGTAGTCTTGGGAATTGCTGGGCTACCGTTTGGCCCGGGTGAAAGTCGAGCTAATTATAAGTACTGAGTCTATGGCAAAACGGCGCGTCACTGGCTACCAATAAAAGACACGTAATGAATATCAAAAGTATATCCAGAAGGAAACTAGTACGCGTCATCAGTAAAATTCAGACTACTAGGTAGAGCCAATTGAATTCACAACTGGGTAAAGAAAATGGGGATTTCGTTGCGACTTGGATGCGAAAGTGATTTAATGAAAAACGTGGCGTAACGCGTGACGGCCGTTGCGTGAGGGACGTTTGTGTGTGTAGAATGTAGAGGAGGTAGAGGAGGCAGAGGAGGTAGAGGAGGACTTTGAATCACGAGGAGTCGACCACGCATAATGGCTACTCTAATGTCTGGATACTCTAATGTCCACGTCGAATAACATTGCCGATTGGAATGTCCAAGGTAGACCAGAGGTGGACCAGAGGTGGACCAGAGGTAGGCCAGTACTGGTCGACCCATATATCTGAGAAAACACGAGTCTGATCCGATAATTGGAAAGTGGATCCTCGACGACGTAATCTCGAGACTCGCGTTGCCATTAAAATGTGTTCCAGTTATGCACCGAACGCGTCATTATACGCGCCGCGCCGGCCAGGAGGCAGGAAGGGAGGAAGGGAGGAAGGAAGGACTGGGAAGGTTCCGTCTTTGTCCACAAATTCTCCAAGCAGCTCGCGAAGGTTCAGGAAATTCTATCAGATGCAGCCATCCACCTACCAATTGTCTTCTTCCATCCTCGAAACGTACAGAACGTTAAAGATCACTAGGACCTCTTTTATTTTTTTTCCATCTCTCGCGCCTTTCCCCTTTCTCCATTCGCGTTAACCTAGCCAATCTTAACTTTTCGACATTTTACGTAACCGATGAAAGGTGCAGCTGAGACTCGAAAGTATTCCAGGGACCAGTCCGATTTCGAATAAAGTGATTCCACTGCGTTCGCATTCCTTACTACGGATTTGTTCAAGTTACCAGGTGGGTGGCTGATGTTTTTTTGGAAAAAAAAATATCAAAGTGTCAGCAGCACGCCTGTAGCGTGTCGACTCATTTAGTATGGACGTCCTTCTACTTAGCACGGATTGTACATGTGGCTGGTCTATTTGAATAGTGAAGACATAACGAGAGTAACTATCACGTATCACTTTTACTAGGTGAAAATACTCTCACTGCTCGATTAGCATGGAAGTGCGATGACGGGTCGAGGGAAATTTCTTAATGGCGGACCAACGAGTCCTTCTTCAATGATTTCGAGACGATCTGAGTAGAGTTGCTATTCCAGGCCATTGTTCCAGTGGCCTTTTACACTTGGCGCAATTTCTCAACGAGGAGCGAGTTTCGTTCGTTCATTCGTTCGTTCATTCTGCAGCCGAACAGCCCTAAGACTCGAGAAATCCTAAGTGCCGAAGTTCGGACGACGTTGGAATCGCAAAATCCCATGGACGATCGAAACGCGGTGGATTGATGTTGGGGGATTGATGTTGGGGGACCCTCCGGCCGTACGAGCACGTTTCAGTAATCGTAATAGACTGTCGAATGAAATGACACGCGATTGGAATCCGCAATCGAAGCACGCGGCTGGGAGAAAGAAAGAGTATCCATTATGGAATCCAAGGATGACGACTACGTTTTCCTATCAAGGTGAATATCGAGGCAAATTTGGAATAACCGAAAAATAGTCGAATTGCTCGGGAATAATTGCAAAAAGAAATCGCAGGACCGGTTCGCATCGCATCGGAGCGTCAAGGTTGGCAGGGACCGTAGAATTACGCAATACTTAAGAATTCGTGATGGACCGTCCGTCTGAGAATTTAAAAAAATTCAATTTCGAAATTTCCAACTCAAGATCCTCGCAGCTGCACTACTTAAGTATCTGTGGTGACACTGCGCGAGGGACCGTTTCGACTGGCTTTTTTTTCTTCTCTTTTCCTCTTGAATCTCGGGACCGGATGTTGGAAAGAAACATGTCAACGAGAGACGCCACTGCTCGAGCGCTCACTGTCGACTTTCGTTCGACCACCCGCGCGCTTCTCCCGGCGACTCACGACTCTCATTTTGAACTTAGCGGCCGCACTCGTGACGAGACTCTCGAAACGAGTGAGACCTGACGATTAAAAAGAACTTACCGTCACGTAGTGCGGAGGGCCTCCTGACTGCACCGAACCGTCATTCTCGTGGATGGCAGACAAATGGAAAAATCGATTAGAATGCAAGTGGCGCCGCGAAACTTTCATCCCGCCGTTTCTTCGCGTATTAATTCTAGGCTAATTAGTCGGGCGGACTCGCGTGGCACGACGGCACCGTAATTTAAGAAGGTCTCACTGTAATTAATCGGCACGTATGCGCGAGTTGAAAATTCATTTCCTGCGTTACTCGCTGCATCCCCACTTGTGCGAAAGTAAAGTCGAAGCAAACGGAAGTGACTCCGAGCTTGAATTGATCTTTGACGAGGAGAACGAAATAATTAAAGATGCGTCATCGAACGTAACACTGTGCAATTTAGTGAAACCATTTCATAATTTGCCTACCAAAAAGAAACGTAGTGTCCTCCTTTACCGAAACTAAAGGGAATAACGAATAGGCTCTCTAAAATGCCAAGTCCGTCCGATCGGATCGGAGGGGCCAACGCAAAGGATTGAGACATTGAGCCGCATCGAGTCCAGTTGCGCCACATTAAGTTAGACATGTATCTCAAGTTCTGCTCACGGGTTCTTCACTGTCCAGTACTATTAATGCGTGCCATCCACCACCATCCACCACCACCACCACCAGCAGCAGCTGCTGCTGCTTCCTCCACCACTTGGTGTCTTGTCCCGGTACCCGGAGCATGACCCGCAAACCCCCGTAACCGGACAGCCTTCCTCTTCTGGTAGCCCAGGGTATAAAAGTTCGGCGGCCTCCGGTCGCCAGGCACACACGGCCGAGTTAGTGAGTGACTGTAAGTGAGAGTGATCTGGTGGTCAGTTCTTTTTTTTCAATTGTAAAGGAAAAAAGAAAAGCAAACCTTATAGAAGGAAAGACGCGAGAGAATGAAGTCCTTCGTAGTAAGTAGATTCTTACTTCGTTTCGAGATAAAGATTGAAAAGTGGTTCTGACGTATCGCGAAGATTTATACGAGAGTGAGCGACACAGTCGTCGTGAAGGAATCAGAACCAAATCGAGTGTGCGACGAGAGTGCGAGGAAATATCAAAGATTTAACCAAATTTTCACCACCTTACGATTTTATTAGAAAAAACTTTGGAAATTACCTCGAGAAGAATTAAGACGGATTTGCGTACGCAAAGTTGTGTACCACCGGATATAATTAGCATGGCGCTTCGCACTCGGGAAACGATTGCGTAGAATCATGAAAGCGTTAAGTGTGCAAAGTACTACAGTTACCTCTCATTAGATGGAGAGAAAGTTTAAATATCTCTTTATTGTCCCATCCATGTGATCCTCGCGAATTACGTTTGTCCGATTCCGATGATTTTTATCTGTTTAGATTTTGGCACTGGCATGCACGGCCGTCCTGGGTAAACCCGCCCCGGAACCACCATCCTCCTACATCCCGCCATCCGGTGGAGGTAGCTACCCTTCGAGCGGTTACGGTCCTCCTGCCGATCAATATGGACCACCGCAGCAGCAGGCAGTAGTCCACAAGCACGTCTACGTCCACGTGCCTCCGCCAGAGGCACCCGAATACAAAGCACCAAAGTACCATGCACCTCCGCCACCTCCCCAGAAGCACTACAAGATCGTCTTCATCAAGGCGCCAACTCCGCCGACTCCGACCGCGCCGGTACTGCCGCCGCTACCAGCTCAGGACGAGGAGAAGACGCTCATCTACGTCCTGGTGAAGAAGCCCGAAGAAGCGCCTGAAGTTGTCCTGCCCACTCTGGCGCCGACGCAGCCCAGCAAGCCGGAAGTCTACTTCATTCGCTACAAGACTCAGGTACCCTATTGTTGAGCGATCAGAATTAGAAATTGAAATAGGAAGATTTAACGCAAGACATTAATTACGTAGAAGGAGCAGCAAGCTGCGGAGTATGGACCACCTGCACCATCTTCTCCATCCGACAACTACGGAGCTCCTCCGTCGGGCAACGGACCTTACTAGATGCGAAGGGCGCGCCAGATATCGCAGGTACAAAAATATCCATTGGTGGAGGTAGAAGCGGAGGAAGCGTTGCGGAGAGGAATATGGCGCGTCGTCTTCCAGGACTTTCCTGTGCTTCTTCAGGCGACGGAGCACGCCAACGATTTCTTGTGTATATAGCTAATAAAATAATGCTACGTAGTGCGTTAGAACTTGAGAGAATGTGCGAGGTGCGAGAGTGCAAGTCTCAGAGAAGTTGTCGAGCAGTGGTTGCTCTCATTTTAGAAGACCCTAACCTAAGCTTTACCTAATTACCTTTTTCCAAGCGTTTTCAGATTTTGTATTCTTTTTTAATGACGCAACTATCGCATGGCGGAAGCTGTTGTCCCTTTGTAAGAAAAATTATGAAAAATATACCAACTTCTTATTACGACGAATCTACCTATCTACGCATTTTATTTTTTTCAACCATGGACGTTACGTCATGCACCTTATTACTTGATTGTAAGTCGCATGAAGAGTCGTGTTGCAGAAGAGGAAATTGACTTGAAAATAGTTGAAAAAAATATATTTACCGAACAAAACATATACTTGATATACTTAGGGACTAGGCGCAACCACGAGAACATAGGCGTCCTCGACTTAATTTCTAATTTGTGGCAAGACGACGCTGGTCTCGCGGAAACGAAAGTTTTGCGCGATGCCGTAGATTGTGAATAGCGAAAGGTGGAGAAAAGAAGAGAAAGGCAAGAAGGAAGAGATGCCGGAAGTGAAGGGGGCGAGAAAGACACGGGCATCCACATCCGGACATAAGGGCCTATTAGGAGGATGTACGTTATAGCAAATATACCGACAGATGGCATTTTTCCGCAATTCCTCAAAGCCCGCGCGTTCTTTGGCAAAGTCAGAAAAGTCTGAGTCAACGAGCAACTGAGAAAGAAAATATTACGCACGGCTGACACACTCGTCAATAGCCAACGAATATAGCCTACATAAATACGCGTGTCATGTAATATATTTACAAATATAGCACAACCCAATAAGTATAATCGACTGAGTGCTCCAATGGAGCCTGGAGGCTGATTGGGGTCAGCCACGCAAAAGTAGCGATGACGACTCGTCAACTTTATTCCGAAAGTTACCTACGGGCACGCGGATTTAGTTATTAAGCCACTGTCGCACGGATTTCGATCCTTTTACAAAATTATAAAATATGGGCGACCGATCGGAAGACTTTCAGCTTCCGATACACTCCATTCATCATGACTCCTATTGATCACAAATATTTGTACGACCGCTCATTACTCATATCACTTTACTAGAAACCTTAGAGTCCACTCGCAGACATAGAAAAGTTCTTCAGACTCCAATTTCAGATGTACCGATGATCAATTATGTATCTATGTATACATTGGATAACCTCGCTTCATCTTCATCCGTCAATAGAACGATTTCTTAAAAAATAGACAGACACCATCAAAAGTTTTGAGGACTCGTTTTCATAATTTTAGACTAAACTAGAAGAGACCCTACAGGATCTATACACTTGAGGTTTCACTATTCCGTGTGCGGTCTAGGTTCTCTTAATAATCTTTTGATATACGGTGCGACAAGCGGATATGTCAGGAAGATTATGTGACCGACGTAATAGACGCTCGCATAGGATCGAGTGTACTTCTCTACGGAGAGGAACACAAAAGGTATCAGGGAATATCCCATAAAGACTAGGGTGTACAATTTGAGATGAAGCCAAATCAATATTCGTGCGGGCAAGTACTCCATGAATTTTTGTATCTTCTGGTTCTTCTCCAGGTACGGCGTGATCTACAATATATAAAAATTAGATAGGATACTATCTAGTAATGATTTACAGAATAAGCATACTCACGTCCTTCTCTAGATACATGATAATGAATTCCATAAAGAAACAAAAGTAATAGCCCGAATGGAATCCGTGCCAGATAGCCAGAAACAATAAAGTTACTACCTGACTGTATAATTTGGAACCAAGAAATCTCAGTCTCTTGTATATGTATTCGGCGCACCAATTATTTGTGTTTATGTTAAACGAAAGAATATAATGTCCAAATGTGGTGGCATTTTCAAAGACCCGTAGCTTCACATTTGCGCAACCATTCCATTTTACACGACCTTTGTCGTTCTTCCCGTTGTACGTGAGTCCAAACACTATGCATACCTAAGGTCCGAAGACAAATTGATAGATCAATCCAATTGGTCTTAATATACGCAGTTAAAGAGATTATGATAATTTCTTACCCCCTCGGTAATAAGCCAGCAGCTGATGTACTTGTAAAGATTGAATCGACCCCAGAAACCAAGAAGAATGCATCGCATAAAGAAATTTTGCTTCAAGAATTCTGAGCTGAGTAAATACTGATCGGAAATGTATCGCGTTCCGATTTGAAAGATGGCCAAGTAGATCAAGCCGATAGCAGCCCGTCCAAAGCCAACAGCCACGCAATTCGGCAACTTTGCCGATTCCGATTCCTAAGTAAATGATTAAATAACCAGTGATCATTTTAGTTTTCAAAGGTCATGCATGTTGGTGGAGATTGAGCTTGAGACCACTTAGGATATGTTATAAGCAACTTACGCTCTTCAGAAGGACCCCGTGAACGTAATCTAAGTACCGTCTCATGCTGAATTGAGGCCCCACGAGGAAGGAACCCGGAAAATACGTGTAGGCCGCCATTTCTAAGAAGGACGGCTGCACCTTGAGTGCTGTGAGCTTCTGCATCGCAGACTGTTTATCCTGGAAACGCACAGGGCAATCGGAAGTGATGTTTTACCCTCTAATCGATCGAGTATGTTACGTTGAAGAATTTGAAAATTAGGAAGCCGTCTTACTTCCGGTTTTTGACCGTCCATCAAGTCAAAGGCTAGACCAATGAGCCTCAGAGTAAGAACGCACTGCGGCATTGTCCACTTAATGTCATAATCATTTGTACTGGTCATGTAGTATCCTAGAGGTAAATAAATCATGTTTTCATGCAGCATTCCTCTATTGTTAAAGACCCAAGGAAGAATTTGTCAAGTACGGAAAAAGTTTCTCGGCACAGACTACACAGCATTATCGTGCTCTTATCGCGGCTATTTGAACGCCGATAACACAGTGAAAGTATGCTGGGATGGTGAATGATAAAAGAAAACGTACTCACCGATCAACAAATACGCCATGTTGAATATAAAAGTTATCGTCACGGAAATAACGGTACTGCCAAATATCTTGAGCGTCAAGTATGTCACACATAGCGCAGCGGCCGAGTGTACGACGTTCCATTCTGTTAAGAAAATAATAAAAGTTTAATTTCGGACATTAATCTTAAGTAATTACCGTAATGCACCATTGAAAAACTCACCGTAATTCCAGAACCCGATGGCAAGGCCACACGCTATGAAATAAATATGCTGATACTTTGCGTTTTTTCCATACAGGGTATATCGGTGTACTAATGCAAGAGGAAATCCTGAAATCATTATAAATATGTATTATTAATACATGAAAATTAGTGTTTTAATGGAAATTGTTACATATGATCAATTCAAGCTTCAGATAATGATTATAGCTAGTTTATCCATATCCTCAACACTCTGACATCTGACTAATCTGTTTCATTCCCGATTGATGATCGGTTGGATCACGTGAAAACAACAATTATAATCGCATTTACAACTTAGCACTCGGAGTGAATATACAGGGTGATTCAGTCGAACGGATCGACTGAAATAGTGCCGTCTATTTGATTTCTACAAAGAGCCAACTACAGTTGGTACGTTTGCAGCCATGTGCACCTCATCTCGCCAGGAATACCGATTAATGCAAATGACGTTGCTTTCTACAACGAAGGTTTGGTCTGATGTGAACATTCATGACTGACGCCCGATGCAACACATGGTAGAAAATGTATCAGGCTTGACGAAACTGGATTCCCAAGTCAGGGAGAACGTCACGAGTAACACAACCAGTGTATAGGTTAAAGACAGCGTGACTTTCATTCTAGATTTGGAAAATGCGTACAGGAGTTCACTGGAATGTATTTCACATGGCATCCACGAGAATTAGAAAAGAAAGGTCTGACTGCAGTAAATCCTTGAGCACATAATCTTCAATTCCACGAGAGAAACTAAAAGATGTCTTTACCTAATAGCAACGAGCAGATAAGTCGAAGGGCTGGCTCCGGTACGTCCAGGTACTCCGATAATTTACTCAGCCCGATCGGGCTGGTTTGGGCACTGGCCATCTTTCAGGTCGGACGAGCGGTGCACCACTAAGCACGGTTGGACGTATTCTGACCCGCCGCTGCATTTTTACGCGGACAATGTAGTAGTTGCAAAGCTTTTCCAATAGATGGCACGACGATAGGCAGATAAATGATGTTAGCGCCTGCAAATGCAACCATCTGGACTTGCGTGGTAAACGGCTGGCATATAGTCAGGCGCAATATGCCCCTTTTTTTTAAGGAACCCCACGTCCCCTATAAACTGTGTTGTAGATTACGAGGAATCGAAAGAAAAAGACAGAGTGACTGAACGTGGGTTTGTCTTATTTTTCTTTGTGATGTTCGAAATTATAGTACAGATCGTTAACGCGCCCATGCGCTGACTAATTATGCGTTAATTAATTCTTATCGAAACCCAAGCCTATCACAGAAACGTTCGGGAAGCCAGCAAAGAGTAACACTGCACAGGCGCTCCTTGGCTTTGAACATGTATAGTACTCGTGGTCATAGTCATTGTTTATCGTTAATAGCGTCTCTAACTAATCGCGTTTCGCAAGTAATACGTCACATTAATAGAATTATATCAGCACATCCGCTGATGATCTTTAACATTTTCTTCATAGAGGTCTATGCATACATATATTTTATAGAATATATTATAATATATATATTCTTCATATACTTATACATATATATCCCATTTGTTCATCTGTCGTAGTATATTCGTTATCACAAAAATAAATAATAGTCGAAAAATAAAAATCACAGACGAAGGTGTAAGTGTATTTCGTTTTCTTCAGCGTGTATCTCTCAGTATACTCATTAACTATTTATATATTTACCTATTAGAATATTCCTCGCACATCCGTCCAGATTGTCGCATTAAATTCCACGTCCTATTATTCTGTATTTCATGCACAAGTACCTTCACCATTTGTAATTTTTCCTACTTGACCCTTGAATTTCTAATTAGCCCAAGGCTCTTTTAATTAACGAAATTACATTCAGATTTCTAATCTCGAATTCACATTAATAGGAATTTAAAAGGCACTCTCAACGGATGCGTTTTCCGCGTCAACCCGGATTGGCAGAGAAAAAAAAAAAACGTAAAAGAGAACTCGTATACATTTTCAGGTTACGTTTTCCTCCAGACAAATTATCCATATTACTAAAATGTGATGCGCCTTAAAAAGAAGAAAAGTCAGATAGGAGGATGGAAAGTGATTTGACACGATCACGGGAGATTGTCAGGAATCAGCGAGACGATTAGGGCGCCTCCATTCTACTGATCTGCAGTAACGGTATTGCTATTTGATTAATCATTTGGACATTTGGAAATATTCGTATGATTAAACTGACCTTCCTTGTAGCAGCGACTTAATATAATCGGCATGCGCCAATGCTATGTCATTGTCAATCCTCGTGGACGCGGAAAAAATATACTCTAATATGTAGAACATTCTCATCTACGCACGCACGCATCAACATATGTGTACAGAGTTTGATTAACGTTATCTCTTGCAGCGTGTAGCCTGACCGGTGGCCAATAACTGGTGAGCCTCGTTTATTTATTATCTCTTATATTCCCGCTCTTTCTTTTTCTTTTTCGCGGTCGCCCCCCAACTTTGTGCACGTTAATAAATACTTTCTTTAGGAATGGTCTCTCCGGACTTGTGGGAAATCTTGTCGTGGTGAACGCTCGCATCCTCTTCTTGGCTCAAACAAGCTCTATATCCTTCATTTACACATCTTCAAAAGTTCACATTTTTTTTACATTCTAATTTGATCTAGGATTTACTATTTCATTCTACTTGTTTGTTTAAGTCATCATAGAAGAGGAGAGGATCAGCAACACGGCCTCCCTCAGGCAGCAATCAGGTCCTAGCTAGAATCCTCCAGGGACTCTAGCAACGAATAAAGAGAAATACGAAAAAGATAATAGAAAAAAGATCATGAAAGGTTCTAAGTTAAACGACGTTACGATCCGCATTCGTAGTAGGAACGATATTACCGGAAGTAATGTTCTCGATGAAACTGGAAGACGTCGTATTCATCCAGATGGGCGTGAAGGTTGTCGAGGTAGAGTTATGATAGCAATAGGGCATTTTCATGCCATGTACGCAGGACGCGGCCGTGTCGTTATTAAATATTACGAGAAGGAGACCAGACACGGCAGCCAACACCCCGGCGATCAACAGTCCCAGTGCCGGAAGCTTCTTCGAGGAGAGAAGTGGACCTTCCTCGAGTTTGAGGTAGCATAGGGCTGGCAGTATGTAGGCCAGAGGAACCGCTGCCAGGATACCGTTCAACTCGAGGACGATGCCGAGACAATCAGTTGACATGGAGATCAGGTAAGTCACTATTATTATTCCCATGGTGATTATCAGGTACTTGCGATCAGAACCAGCTATGTAGGCATCGTGATCCTCGACCTCATCGGTTCCTTTGATAGCTGTCATTATCACCTGCAGCAGGCCAATAGAGAGAATGAACAACGGACGCAGCTCATATTCTACAGATCAGAGGGTATCCGTACTTACCTCTCGAGAAACGAAGCACTCTATGGGGAAGGTCAGCAGAATCGTTCCACTGAACATGACCCTGGAGAAGTTCATGAGATCATCGTCCCAGCAATAATTCTCCATCAGATCACCCTGGACATACGCAGTGAAGGTGGCATAGCCAGTTATGCCAAAAGCCGCCGCGACGATAAACGACGTGAACAGCGACCAGTGCGTCACGGTGTCCCATTTCTGCTGGGTGACTCTCTCGATGGAGCCGTAGATGAGGAAGGTATTGTGATGGCACATGAACGCGAAGGCCATAATGCCGACGGAGGGGATGATTCCTGGGAAATTTGCGAACCTCCAGCTGTCCTCGTGACTTGGCCTGGAATTTAATGAACTCTCTTACCCAGGTACCGGTCACCCATAAATGAAACTTCATGAACTCACACTATGGATGACATGGTGCCCATCCTGATGAATATTGCCAGAAGGATGAACCCGACGCAGACTAACGAGAGGAAGGATATCTTGGCGAGTCTCGCAATGTTCCTGTAGAGGCAAAGTGGTACAGTGATGCAGATGGTGGCCAAGAGGATGACGACCTGCCTCTTCACGAAGATGTTTGTCTCCGAGATTCCGGTTACCCTGATCAGGACCTTCGTCACCGTGTCACCGACGACCACGTTGTACGATACCATAGCTACGATAAAAATGACATTTCTGAGAATCAATTGACGGGGTCATCAGATTGTGCTCGAATTTATTGACGCCGGAATACCTACCTATGAAGGGATACATGAACTGAAGAGCCGTGAGTATGTAAAATCCAGCTCGACCAAAACTAGCCCTCATGAGTCCCTGATAGCTCATCTCCCCACAGAGATGCCCACTTCTCACCATAAGAATCAGGGAGTAATCCGTCAGAACGGCCACCAGGATGAGCAGAACAATTCCAAGCCCGAAGCCAGATTGGTGCAGAGCGTAAGGGATGCCTGAGGAAGTAAAAAAAAAAAAAAATGATAAAAGTAAGATACCTTCGAAGAGTTTACTTCCTCTATGAGCTTATTTACCTTTGAGAGCCTATTTCATTGATCATTCATTTACTCTTGTTTTATCATTACCAGAAAACTAAGCGGATTCCATGTGCGTTCTGGTCCCGCCATTAAATTATACTCATAAGCAATGCGAATATAAAGAGGAAAGAAGAGCAGAAAAGAATCAGAAGAGAACCTTACCGATGACACCACTGCCTATAATGGAATTAATGAAATTGAAGCTAGCCAGCGGGAGGCTGGTAAACTTTCCAGCATCCTCCTCGTCTTCCTGAAATTATTACCCAGTCAGAATGAGCGTCATTCGGATTAATAAATCTCTACGCGATTAAAATTGCAGCTCAGCCAGATAGCCATGTAGCCATATAGCCGAAGATTTGTATAAAAGGTCTATTGATTGGTTGATTAATTGATTAATGAAGGACCATTAAGTGATACTACTTGATTTGAATTGCACGTGATGGTTGGGTCTCTCATGAGAGGAGCCTGGAGGAGGTGGAGGAGGTGGAGGAGACAATGGGGGACCGTTACTCGCGTAACGGTCTCGTGGCCACCGGACTATCGAGTCATCAGCAAAGGATACAGAAAATACTTCCATAGGATTCTTAACTGTTTTACCATAAAATCAATCTACGAGTGAAAATGCAAGGAATGAGAAGTTCGAACGCTGCAGAATCGAATGGAAAATAAGAAATAAGAAGGAAAGTGACAGACATAAAAATATCTTATCTCAAAGCTCATGGAAATGTTGCTGAGTCGTGGAAATTGAATCATCATTGGATAATCGTAGTTGGGGGAGATATTACGGGTTGTTACGTTACGCATAGGAGAATTCCAATCGATACAGAGAGAAAGGAAGAGACTTTGTGAGATAGGAAATAATCGAGTGAAAAGAATGTGACATTGTAAATAGTAGACGCGTGCATCACTGAAAAAGATATCGCGCAGCCAGCCAGTATTATAATTGTAAAAATTACAACAAAATTTGGAAAAATTCCTTCGCCTTATCTGGCAGAGACCACTGCGACACGTAACCAGAAAACATTCTGCTTCGGGTTCTCTGAAACTACAGTAAAAGCAAAGAAAAGCACTCTGAGCCCGAGTTATCCAAAGCCGTCCACAGCAGGCCACACATGCAGTACAGGCAGTACAGGCAGTACAGGCCGTAGGGCATTACGCAATTAGAACAAAGTAGGAAACTCCTGTTAGAACGTTGCGCCTGTTGCTTCTGATTAGCTCCTAGAGATTAATGAACCTAAGCATAGTGAAGTAAGGACAGTGGAAACACGTAGAGTCGCGTGCACGGTCAATTTCCACGGGCAGGAAAGTAAGAAAAGCGCAATCTGCAAGCTGCAAGGAAAAAGAGAGAGCGGAGCAGCAAGAGTCAAATTAAAGAGTCGATGAGGATGAGTGATGAACTGATGACTAATGAGGGAGAGAGAGAGAGAGATGTCGAAGAAGAAGGGACTGACGATAAGACTCGCTAATATTCGCAGCTCTATGTAGTAAAATATTGAGCAGAGCAAGAAGCAATGGATGAATCTTACCCTAACTAGTTGTTTCATGTCGTCGTAGGAGTCGTCGGAGCCGAGGCTGCCACCCTGCCGAATCGTTTTGATTTGAAAACGCGTCAGTTTAAAAGCCGCGAAGGAATCGCGTAGTCGCCAATCCAAGAGAGACGAGAACCGGAAGTGAGTCACCCTGATGTCAGTGCACTTCCCACAAGGTACAAGACTCAAATGAGAAAGCAAAGCGGCGCTCGCTACCTGTTTGCTGGCCGAAGGAGTTCAGCTGCGACTGCTACTCGAACGTGGAGTAAATAGAGAAAGGCAGTAATGGTGACGCAGGCCGCACTGACTCCCGCGAAACTTCAGATGGACTCGACCACGTGTCGTCTGCTTCGTTTTCTCTTTCGTTAATTATAACGGTTTACTTTTTCTTTTTTTTTCTTTTTCTTTCTTCCCGCAAATTCAAAGGATCCTCGTGTGCTGTCGCTAAATGGACCATCGATCTCGAAGGAATTGCAGAGACAACAGTGTGACGAACTCCTTAAGGCTTAAGTCCACTGTTCGCGTGCAGATCTACGAGTTCCCTTTTCTAGGCGCTGGAAATCGCATTAAAGTATCGGTGCGATCTGCTTCCACGGAGAGAGAACGTCTGCGCGCGCGTGTGTGTTTGTGTGTGCAGCCGAGAGTCGAGATAAAAGAAGAAGGAATCGGAGCGAGAATGTAAAGGGTGCCGAAGGAGAGCTGTAAAAATCTGAATTGTTAATTGGCCCAGAGTCGGAGGATCGATACGACCTTTAAGAAAACAAAATGCTCCCGGAGAGGACGTAAGACCAGTCGAAGCGCTAAGTGCGCTCAGAAACTACAACTCATTCCAATTCCTTCGGGCGTCTCGAGTCTCTCGGGAATTTAATAAAGCGCCTTCCGAGCGGCTATGGATCTGATTCATGCGGCATCTCCGTATTCCACTGAATTTATAAGAGAGATAAATCAGTCTGGTACATTCATCCCCAACAGCAACACTTTTTTATCACCAGTGGGAAGTTCCTCTCCAGAGGAGACTTAAATTCGCTATAATTGACACAGTTGTAAAATTAAGTGATACACAAATGACGTACAGCTACTGTCAAGTAAACACGAGGATATAGCTATCCGTGTCTTACAATGTAAATATGAAATATAAATAAATGGGTAGTATCAAAGTGGGAAGGCAAAACGATTAAGTTACCGAGTTATCCGAAATTCCTAACCGTACCAGGCCGTCGTGTTTCTTTGCTTCAGATACAAGATACAAAGAAGCAGATTTTAATTAATGTTGAGTCGCGTGTTTCCCTAAGAGAGGCAACCGTGGCCCTAGTGATGAATGAACGGGCCAGTGTCAATGGACCTGGAGTTCATTCATGACAATTCCTAGCAGGGGAGGATATTGCTCACAAGGACGCTGACAAAACAGTCCTGGCGGTTGTCAAGTAAAGCGGACCAGTGCAGGACAGGTACACCCAGATCCTGGGTTAGAATAATTCATTATATAAGAAACAACTGTCACGTTACTTACATCTTCGAAATTTTTCCTGGCGTCGAGTATGTAGCTCTTCTCGTTGACACGTTCAGGACCGCCGGTAGCAAGAGCCATTATTCCAGAATTTGTCGCTTCCCACGGGAGGACCCGGAGTCTCCAGACGAAAGAGAAGAGGCAAGGTAAAGAGAGGAGAAACTGGAAGGAAAGTGTTTGAGACCAAAGAGGAGGAGCGAGGAGAGTCGACAGGACCGCAAAGTATAACCGTGTCGCAACGGTCTAACGTGATCTAACTTATACTGTGCCAGTGAAACGGACAAAATGAGGTTTATTGATTGCACGACGCGAGTATATCTATACATTGAGTGGGGGATGGTATCACGACGCGACCTCTGTAGTAGGCGATACCCCCCTCCCCCCGTCTTCGTACTACTCCACACTCTCACTCCTTCTCGCTCTGCGCAGGTCTTTATTAAGCTTCCTTCACAAGTAAGACAGGAACGATGGCTTCCTGGTGTTCCAAGAGAATCACACTCTAGAACTGGTTCTGTTCGGTATACTATTTCACACGACGCGATAAACTTGGTGAAGATCTGCCTTCAGCGATATGACGGCTGGAGTGCGTGGACATCGGCCTTTGGGATATTGGAATAGTCGGTGATGCGTGGGCAACTAGGTCGAATGAAATTTTTCACCTCTTGCTATTCAGAATTGCCATGGAAACATTTTATCCCGTGAAATTCATTGTCTAGTTCAAATATTTCAGCCTAGTTCAAATATTTTACAAAAGTAAACTTCTCTTTTGAGTTTATTTGCTCTTACCTGTTAAGCTTTATCAGTAGCGTCCACTTCTTTGTTTTGAATCACGTAAGATATTAATGAGAGACTGCGAGTATCAACCTCTAGTAGTGGTAGCAATTTTCCTCTTGGTACAACTGCCTTATCCTCACTTTTTCTAATCCATGGAAATTCTTGGCATTTCCTATTTTCGTTCAATGCTATGTGCGTAGCCTGACGAACTGTCACTACCACTTTAAATGTTGCGTCGGTCGGAATTGGTTTTAAATACGTATGGCAAGTCGATAATTTCAGACAAAAAGCACGCAGAGCCTCTTCTGTTTGTAAGAAGTAAGGATCATCGCTACAATGGAAATTTAACTTGATTTATTAATCGTATAAAGAATTCACCCTTTATTTATTCGTCACACTCACTTGAATGAGTTGCCAGCTGCAGATTGAAAACTAAAAACGTACTTCTCGATTGGTTTTTCGTGAACATCGGAAATCACGAGACTCACGAATTTCACGTTATCTTCTCCAGTCGTGAGAGCCTCATAAATTCCAATTAATACTTTCTTTAAATACGTCTTGACATCTGGATGAGTTATCATGTGCACTTCTGTCCCGTATACTTTAGATTTCTTGAACACGGCTTCTGGATAGAGTTTACGGTGGAACAAAATGTTGTGGAATGCAACCTCCAGAAATTCCATGTATATATCCATCGCGACTATACAAAAATAATTATCATTACGATAAGAACGCAGTCAAATCTTAAATCATAAAGTTCTGTCATTTTTGTCGGGTAGCAAAATTATTCGAAAAGATGGCGTCACGTGTACTGTTCCGTTAGGTGCTGCCTCCTTAAGCGGCAATTTCGTGAACTACATTTGTCATACCATCAGTAATTTCAAAATTCTTACCTACTGTATCCTGAGACATTTCAGACAGATGAAATTCACTGTGAATGAAGTTTAAATCCGTCACACAAATTTTACCAACCGAAACTCACAAAAATATGAAACGTCAAACCGTCGAGATAATGCAACTGAAATTGGTCACTTGTATTTAATTCGAAATTCGAAACGTTGTCCGATGTCTTGTGATTTAGAACCTTCGAAGAACTTCTGGAATAATGACTATTTCGAGAATTCAAAAAATCAGCTTTACACTTCCGTAAACTCTTTATTTATTCTTTTTGCAACTTCGTACGTGTCGCTAACCGAAGCGCAATGCGCGCCTCAAGACACGCGAGCAAGATATTGCATATGGCGCATTCGGCCGCTGCCCGTTCCACAGTGCGGTTGTCCGATCGCTGGTGTCTATTTGATAAGCACTGAGCAAAGTAATGTCGAGTCCCTCGATTCCTATGTTCTGTACGTGACAACAACTCGACGTTCACAGAAGATTAATTAATTCTTGACGAAGGCATTGCAGCGTAGTCACAGACAGCGGCTTCACGAGTAACCTCACGAGATATTTTAACAGCTCTGTATTATCCACGTAAGTAGCACCAACTTGATTTTTCTTATTTCACGTAGACACACTTCCCGTTAACTCTTGGATACGATTGATGGGTTTTTCCAAATGCACTGATGGATCGTAAACTCATAAATATTCTTAGGAATCTGCCAATCCGCCTTCTACCACTTCGTACTGTACAACACGACGCGTGAATCTTCGATTTCTAATGGCGCGAAAAAGATTCAACCGACAATCGAACTTTTTTAAATTTCTTCTTCTCTTCGTGTGTTGTGATTGCGATTCCGTTTCATTTAAGTGGATTAATGTTAGGATTGCTGAATTTTTATTAGGATGCAGCATTCTGACTTGAAGAGACATTGTCGTTCAATGTTATTTTTGAAAAAGTGTGCCGGCACTAAAAAGAGATCGTTTTTTCGGAACTTTCGCGTTGCACCACAACGAGTTTATTGCGAGTACATTTATTCTCGGGAGGTTTCGTCAGTCGTGCGACTAAACGAGGCAGAGCTCGAGATGTAAATTTTGCGATCAGACTGGATTGTTTTTTTAGTTGAAAATGGCACCAACTAAGAAGACTGATATGGAGAAATTGGCATGGGCTTGGGTGGACTCGGTTGAACCAGAAGAAATTCAGAGGATCCACTTGGAAACAGCATACAAAATTGGTCTTAAAAATTGCAAAAACTGCAGGTAAATCTATCATTGGATACTTATGGCATACATTAAAGGGGTGAACAAACATGGAATTGCATGTTATTTCGTGAAAAGGATTCATAAAAAATATGAGAAAATACATTAAATATTAAGTCAAAGAAACAATTTGGATATGAAAGGCTATACATCCAGTAACAATTTAGAATATTTTTCTGGAACTTCTTCCACGAACTGATGCACTCCTATTTTAGACGTAATTGTCAAAATAATCCCATGTGCTTATCGGGTCTTGGAGAGGAACGATATCTAAAAGCACCACCAGTGGAAGCAGGTTCTTTGCAAAGCGTATTGTGCAAACTTCGTGATTTAAAATCCTATGTTGGTTTGAAGAACCTTGGAGCTACTTGCTATGTGAACAGTCTTATCCAAGTTTGGTTTCACAATGAAGACTTGAGGTAGTACATTGGATAGTTCTCTGTGATAGAATTTTACTACTACAAAGTCTTTTGTGCAGGAGGATAATATACAAGTGGAAGATCCATGAAGATCCAGAGGAGACAGAGAGAATGGCACAGGCCAAATCTATGGCAATTACTTACAGCCCAGTGACTGCTATTGGACAATTACAATTACTTTTTGCATTAATGCAATTTGGCAATAAGTCATCTGTTGACCCTATCAATTTGGCTATCTCTCTGTCTCTTGACACAAGTATCCAGCAGGATGCACAAGAGTTTTCCAAACTTCTTCTCTGTCACATTGAGAAAAAAATGGAACGAAGTCCGGAACTGAAGGAAGAGCTACAACGTCTGACCCAGGGAAAATATAGTTATGTCAACTGGTATGTTTTTTTTGAATCAATCGAATGTTAAAAACTTATGTCATTTACAAAATCCATGGCCACGTAATGTTTTGGTCATTGCATCTTTGGCATAGTTGCAAGACCTGTGGTACTGAGCATCTCACATCAACAACATTCTATGAACTGGACTTACTGCTTGTGGGAACTTTGAGAGAGGCCATCCGGTCGTATTTGAATGTGGAACAATTAGCAGGTCAGAATCAGTATCACTGTACGACATGTAACGACAAAAAAGATGCCACCCGTTTCATACGATTGGATTCACTTCCGGATACCCTTAACATACAGCTATTACGTTTTATATTTAATCGGTTAGTATGATAACCCACAAAATTCTTCGTAATCCTAAGGGTAGAATATGCACGGATTTGCAGAAATTGCATTATTTCACAGTGACACTGGACAGAAGAAAAAGTTAAACGCCTGCATCACATTCCCGATGGAGCTGGATATGTCGGAATTCATTAAATGTCCACCTCAGACCCACGTCTACAATCTCATGGGTATTTTAAGCCACAAAGGGCAGTCGGCTCATTCTGGTCACTTTGTTGCCAATATTCGTAACTCAGATGGGCAATGGCACGAACTGAGCGACGATAAGGTCGATGAGGTGGACCTCAATCAGCTGGAGGATGGTCTTCACGGTAAACCTCATAAAAAACACAGGATTCATTGTCGAAGGTAATAAACTTCTCTGTACAGGATGATCGACTCTTTTTAGATTTTCAGAAGAATACAAAGAGGACCCGTGTACCCAAGGGATGCATATCCTCTACGACGGCCTACATGCTCGTCTATAGAAAACAGACTGCTAACAACACATCAAAGTCGAAGAGGAGCACGATACAGAAGCGCGAGAGTGAATCCCCTACGTCGCCACCAGAGAAGATCATAGCTCGTGACGTCTTCAATGAAGTAAATTCACCAATAATGAGTCACTCGACCCGATCAGCGTCACCGACGGAGTCGACGTGCTGTCAGTCGTCAAATGTTAAGGATCAGTACTGTAGAAACAGCGAGAGTCCCAGCATGCAAGGTAGTCCAACTGAGAAGAAGAATGCTCACAAGCGAACAAACTTGACTTCAAAAGAGGGCCAAAAATCTCAAACGGAAACGATGGCAGCGCTAGCTTCGAAGACACACAAGTCTGTGATAACTCCTCCGAGTCCAGTAGCTGGACCTTCCGGTATGCAGAATATAGCGACCACCAAATATCAGACGATGAACGGCAGCGCACAGCAGCACAGTCTCGGAGCTAACGAATTTTTGGAAGATGTTCGTATTTTTGCACAACAAATATTAACACGTTTGCTTCTATGCTTTGGTCCATGTGCACATATATTCTCCTTGTCTTATGTTCATAGATCGAGTTTGAGAAATGGAGAGTGAACGAGACTGTGCGAGACCTCGTCAAGCAGGAGAATGTTAAGCATGAGCTTGTCCTGTTGGCTGAACAGCAGGAACGAGTAATTGTCCATTTAAACTTGTGACAAATTATAATGAGAAATGTCGATTAATTCGTGCTAATCTTTTTACTCGTTATTCCAGCAACGAATAGCAGAGGAAGAGAACAAGAAGAGACAGTTAGTTATAGATTTTTACAATATCGTAGAGAATACGCCAAATCACGAGGAGTATCAATGGCTGCCTACGGAGTGGCTACACAAGTGGCTCAATCCGTCGGCTGGGAATTCGATCTGCCCTATAGACAATACGCCGATTATGTGTCCCCATGGATTTGTCGATCCTCTCAAGGTGAATAAGGCTAAGTGCGTGCCCCCGAAAGCAGCTGAACTCCTTTTCGACGTTTATCGTGGTGGCCCGAGACTTGACCAGAATTCTCTCTGCACGTACTGCGTCAGACGTCGTTGCAAAACAATACGCTTTAAAATTGCCATAGAACAGGATCAGAAGTCAATAACGGAGTTGATGAGGAATTATAAAGAGTAAGTGTAATCGTACTTTTTTTTTTATTTGTAAGGTAATGTTTTTACATATTTCTTATTTTATTCCAGAGAAAAAGGCGGTTTCGTGGTGGGAGCAGAATCATTCAAGTACTGGAAGCGTTTAGCTACTGATAAGTTCAACGAGTATATGCAGCGGGAAATTGACGAGGAAATAGGGAAGATATTCACAGAGGAACCCGTGGAGCAGCATTCAGCATCAAAGGACGAAGTCGCTGAGAAGGAGCAGGAAGATACCATTCTGAACTTCAACGAGGACATCCTCTGCGAGCATGGACTTCTGAAATCTCCCGATGCCACCCGGAAGATCGTGCCGTTAGAGGTCTGGAGTATACTGAAAAAGTATTTTCCTGGTTGTAACGAGTACATACACAGTGTAATGCCGTGCACTATTTGTCTGGTAAGTAGTTATAATTGGTTTCTCGTTATAAAGTAATCTTTCTTCTATAAAAAGAGATGTAACGAAATGAATCGAAATATCTTGAATGATTGTTGTCCGTTTCTGTGATGCTGATTACTTGGATGACGTTTGTGATTTGCTATTTTTGACAGCTAGGGTTATTAGTGGCATGAGAGATACTGACAAACGTCAATTAAACAGAAATGTATGGGTTAGTGAAATGAAGTATTAGGGTTTAAGAAAGGATTGTCTGATTTAAAGAGATATGCCTCATTTCAAAAATCGGCATATTCGTTAGCGAACAGACTGGTCAATTTGGATATTGTTATTGTGGAATTTAAAATACAGTGGTTGATTGTGGAAAATGTTGTTGCTGTTGTAAATTGATTGCTTGATACATAAATTGTAATTTTTTGGAATAGATATGCAGTGTGCACGTGTCAGTCTAGTTGCTATATGATTAAAGACATTTTTGATTTGCAAGTTGCTGGATTTTTTGTTGCGCAGGAAAGACAAAAGGCTGCGCAGAAAGCAAAAGAAGGTGACAAAGCCAGAGCGAAGCAGCAGAAAGAAGAACTAATAGATCTGTACTATGGAAAGAACAGAATTGAGATTTTGGACTGTGAGGATCCTACTAGGAAGTATTACATCGTGGAGAAGGGCTTTCTGGACTCATGGCGTAATTTTATTCGGTGAGTCAAATTATTTTTCTCATAATAGTGATTTATAGCATGATGCATGCAATGCGTTTTTATCGACCGATGCGGTCTCGTGCTCCTCTAGCGTTTCGAACATTTTGATGCTGACGACATTACCTAAAGCAGAATTTATCAACGTACCTTAAGGCATCGTTGGTAAGATGGTAGTAACCGCACTCGGCAGTGCCCTGCTAGTTTCATGAGTATCCGTCAGCTTTCTCAGCTTCGCGAAAATGCCGGCAGGTGGTAGCACGCGCGTGTGCATCAATGGATCAGTAGCGTCTCCCGTCCACATAATTTTATATCGCTCGTGCAAAACCGTTATTAATAGTTTGATCCAGTCTGATCGATTTAATTTCCCTGGTACATTTTCTTTACGAGAAGGCTGAAAGGAAAAAAAGTGATTTAATTTGAAAGTGAACGATTTGGAAGTGTCAGAGTCAGTCGCAGACGAGAACGAGGGTTGTCAAAGGGTAAGTAAGTGTAACTCAATGATAAAGAACATTACGAAAGGTTGTATAGGAAATAAAAACCCTCTATGGGGAAATATCCAGCACGCATTAACGAGCTTTTCCTAATTATAAGAAAAAACTGGTCCCGCGCGATTAAGGTTGGGTTGTTGGTGGTCCGGTGAGGGTGATGCAGGCCGATTCTAGAGGTAGTGAGGTTAGGGTATAGGCTAGTCCAGGGCCAGGAAAACTAATTGAAACCGCCTAACGACCCAACGGCAAATGATACATCGATCCCCGAAAAGACCCTGTGTCTTAATACCGTTTCGTCTTATTCCTCGTTGGCCATGATCCTCCGGCTAAATGCAATTTCCTTCGTTTCGGAAAGTTCACTGGCCTTTCCTTCCGTCGCTTCCCTCTTGTTACTTTTGTCTATCTTGCCTATCAGTTGAACCCGTTTGCGCAAAGCCACACCGACGATACGTGGCCACGGAGTGTAAAAGGGTCGCGAGACACTTTCGGATTGACATGTTTAAATTGGGCAGAGTGTCTTGGTAATCCTGCCGCGTTAAACTCATGGACATTTGGCTAAACCGGGATCAACTCTTTGCGCGGATCATGTGGCTTGTCATGTCACACGCGCGGCTTTCTATTCTTAAGGGTTGGAATCCCTAAAACGAAGCCTCCCTTCCCTTCTTTCCCTTCTTTCCCTTCTTTCCCTTCTTTTCCTCTAGCACAGGGGTTGTTACAGGGCAGAGAGATCCCTGCGAATTAAGTGATCATCGACCCTAAATGATTCTCACGCACTGTTTATCTCCTCGTTTACCTGCATTCGCAACGCATGGCGCCTTCCTTCGAATCGGCTAAATTGGCCTGAAATTCTCTGGAAATTGCTTGGGAAAATGTGCACTCGAGTATCGCATCCCGGCAGCAGAGTCCGCTTCTTTAAAGTAGCTAAACGGTATCTCCCTAATCGTTCTCGGATGCTGGGTAGAAGGTTGTACCGTTTCTGGGGATTGGGGGTCGATTTATTATCAGGAGAATGTCCCTCCGCTTGAAGTAAAAGGGGTTAAGAGTTAAGGGATGCTGGGGATAGTAAACGCGAAAATATTTTTCCACTGGCTATTGTCTCAGGCGTTCTTTATAGCGTCAATAATTAATTTGCCAGAGGGCGATCGCGAGCGATCGCGACCCTTCCGACTGGAGAGAGAGAGAGAGAGAGAGAGAGAAGAGGAGATAATAATACTGTGAATCTCTTTTGCTTGGTTATCTGGATGGAAAAGAAAATAATTTGCGCCTCCTGAAATATCGACTTTCCCCCAATCAATTAAATTCTATCCAATCTATGCTGTCCTTCGAAAGGATAATGTCCTGCAGTACATTGAGATTTCACTGTTGGAAACGGAAGCGTCACTCGGATGCTGCGGATGCTGGGGATGCTGGGACTGGAACGCGAAGGTGGTCGTAGCGTACCACGCTGGAAAACAAATGGTGGCCGGGATTGCAATTTGTCTGAGCCGGCTTCAAAGTCCTCCCCAATCTGTCAACGTCGCTCCGATGGATTTTCGAAAGGATTAGGCATTTGCATAGACGATCGCTCAACTCGTCTTCGCTCCTCGTCGCACTTTTTAAGACGCCCTTTAGCCGCCTGGACCATCATCCGCGCTCGGAGAGACGTCCGCTCAGCCATAAGAATAATTTCTGTATCGAATTACAGTTAGGTGGGAAATCGAATTAGGGAGCACGATAACCGAATTGACAGAGAGAGGAGATGCTAGATGCGAGATGCGAGATAAAGAAAGAAAGAGAGAGAGAGAGGAATCCAGTGAGATGATTCCAGACTCCCAAGGTAAATAATTATTAATGACAAGCGGACCGAAAATATGACTCGGGTCGTGTTGACATGGCATTGTACGCCGAGAGACAATGGTTGGCGGTAGACGCGTGTGCCAAAAGGCGAAGGGCTCCATAATTAATAACTTGGAATTGATTAAGGTGTCAGATAAGTCTATAGAGAGCCGGAGCGAAGGGGTGCTAGGGGTGCCTGGGTTTGGTGGGTTTGGTGGGTTTGGTGGGTTTGGTGGGTAGAGGTGGCTCGCGCCACGTTACGATATGATTAATAATTTTGAGATAACGCCCCGGGCCAGGGTAACCTCCCTTCGTCTCTTTCATCCCTCCTCACCCGCTACGTCCTGGCCCCACTTACGCACTTTACTTTCCTAAATGACTAATTATTCTCATGGTCCACTCGTAATCCTTTTAACAATTTCCCTGGCCTCGTTCCTCGTGCTGGCTGATCATCCAGATCCGGCATCTGGATCATCTTCCATCCGAGCACCTTGAGGAGCCCCTCCAGCTCCCTTTCCCGTGCACCCCCGTTCCTCTCCTCCCCTGCAGGACACATCATCCACGAAGTCACCCTCGCTCCCTGGCGCAGTGTGTGTTCTATGGAGTCGACAGGACGGTGGACGTTTTCCAGGAAGCATAGATCTTTCGCAGCAACTTAGCGTAGAGATTTCCAAGTATTTTGCGTACATTTGGGTGACTTGGGTCGCAGGGGTAGTTCCTAGGAGACATCGGCGGCGCTAAGGGGATGTGGAAGTACAGCGTACGCGCGAGAGTAAGAGAGAATGAGAGAGAATAGGGAGGAACGAAGGAGAGAGGATCCGCGGAAGGGAAATAATAAATCATTCTCGGAAACGTGCTGCGGGGGGTCGTGCATCGACTCGCGAAATCCAACTACCCTTAAATAAGTTGATTCATTGCAGGAGCTCCCGTACTCGCCAGGGCTACCCCCCGGCAAACCCGCTTGTTGATATTTTCCTAATTCTCCTGCTGTTATTCTTATGGGGGTTTGAGCCTGCCTCCACTTCATCCCCTTCGTTGATACTTGTATAGGTAGTCCTCGGCTGGGTATCAAATTATTTCGTTCTACCTAACGTCGTCCTGGAACAATCGGAGGAACCATCGTGATTGCTGTAACGACTGAGCGATGATCAGTCTGTGATTCTGGACGATCGAGCTCCTCAGAAGTCAGCAGCAACCCTGGATGATCCATTGGCATGTACGACGGCAGAGTGGAAATAGTTGACAATGGCGGAGAATGGCGGAGAATGGCTGAGAATCGGTCAGAAATGGGAGAGACAAGAGACAGGAGACAAGTAGAGAAATAGGGAGTAGCCTGCGCCTTCGGATCTTCTTCCAAGGAATTCTTCCTTTGGATTCAGGATATGTCCCCCTCCTTTCCTTTCCCGGGGGCGGCCAGTGTCTCGGGGGCGGTCATATATCATCCACCCCTGGGGGGTGGACGAGGGTGCCTAGGTGGTAGCTGGAGGCTGAGGCAAAAAATCTTGCCAAGCAAAAACTATCATCAGTGCTCGGCAAAGCGAGCTGAACGCGCTTCTTCTCTCTCTCTCTCTCTCTCTCTCTCTCTCTCTCTCTCTCTCTCACTCTCTCTCACTCTCTCTCCGTCTATCCGCTTCTATACCACGCTCCTCTGTCCTGCCTTTATCTCGCTCTCTCTTGCTCTCTCTCTTTTCCCTCCTCCCTCGCAGTCCCTCACCCTTGCTTCGCCTCTCTCCAAGGAGAATTCGCAAAAGGAGAGAATTGGCGAAAATGGTCCGGAGAGAACGTGTGGCTGGAACATCTAAAACTAGCATAACGGGTGTCCCTAGTAAATTCCCTAGACTTCTAGTTCTTTATCGAGTATCGAGTTGCGTGATTTCTAATTGCCCTTGTAGCTGATGATCCCCTCGTCCCTCCAGCCTCCCTCCTGCCTCCCTCCAGCGACGAGTGAACGATTGCTCAAGCAACTGCGTCGATTTCGCGATCGCGCGACGTTACACCACGGCGTCGCGGCGTGTCGCGGGTCGCCGTCGCGCGCAATGTAAATACATGAGAGCGACCGAGCATGGCGACAGGTTGTTTTTCGTGAGTATTCACCGAGCGACGGTCACGCCCGACGCGCACCGGCCCACGCCTTTTCCTTCGGGCGATCGGTTTCGAAAAATCGAGCAAAAACCATCGGCCGAACAGCGGGGCAGGAGAGCGGCGCGACGCTGACGTCGACCAGCGTCCACCAGCGTCCACCAGCGGAATCCGATCGGGCGGGGAATCGCACGCTTATCCCGTCGCCGTCCAAACCGGCATTGGATCGCAATGACGATCATCGTGTTCGACGCGACGGCGATATGCAGATAGCAACGGCGCAAAGATCATCGCGGTTTCGCTCAACCGAGCGCGATGTTTCTTCTCTGGTCAGGATAAAAGTGAGTAGCTGGTCCGGCTGCTGCGGCGACTCCTTCCCTCCTAGGGATATTCATCTGACTAGGTAGAGGCTTTTTCTCCTTATGTTATTTGTTTAAAGCTTTGATTCCTTGAGAAAGCAAAAATAAAGACGTGATCGTAGTCATTGTCGTAGTCAATCCTCCTCCTGCTAGCTCTCTCTCTCTCTCTCTCTCTCTCTCTCTCTCTCTCTCTCTCTCTCTCTCTCTCTCTCTCTCTCTCCCTCCAGTGGCTGCTGCTTCTGTCCTTCTCGGGCACGAGGACGAAAGATTCACGACTGGCAGCAGCAGTCCTTTTGACCGGTAGTCCGGCAGGATGTCGATTATCGACGGTTTTTGCTGCGATTTGCTTTTTCTTCTGGGCGCATAATTAGCTTTCGTTATTCCAGTGCGCACCGCCCGCTTCCGCCCGCTGACAACCAGGCTGGACCTCACGTGCTTTTATCTTCACCCTCTTTACCCTCTTTACCCTCTTTATCCGGACTTATCCTTTAATTCGACGCGTGTCGTAAGGACCCTCCCTCCGTCCCACCAAGAGCAGCTCGCGTCGGTTACGGCGCTACTAGACTTCTTTGACGCTTCTCTGGGCAACCTAGGCTGCGCCTACCGAGTTACTCGCCTCATTCGTGGAATCCGATTAGGCAGGTTCATTCACACTTCTCCCGGGAGTCCACCTCCTCCTAGTTTCCTCGGTGTCCCGTGGTCCAGGGATGCTGCCTGCCCGACGCCCAATTTTTCTGTCTCTCTTTTCCACGAGTCTTCTCGTTCCTTCGCTTATGTTTTTTTCCCATCTCATTCTCCCCGCGGTGCTCTTGCTCTGTTATTCGGTGAGTCAGTCGATCTTAGCCCTGAAGTCTTCTATGCTACTGGACCTTTCTCTCTCTCTCTCTCTCTCTCTCTCTCTCTCTCGCTCTGCATCACTGTCCTCGCACCACACGGCTGCTTTTCGGATTCTTTTTTTCCCTCTTTATCTCTTTCTCGTTTCTTTTTTTTTTTTCGCGGCTACCGAGCCTTTTTACCGCGGACACGTAGCCTCGCGTAATGACTACGGCAACGCTCGAATGCTCCTGCCCATACAACCTATAGGCTACGGCCGGCATCGAAAGTTTCCTTTTATCTTGTTTCGCCTTGACAATCATCCCGTCCAGATGCATATTACACGCGGCCTCATCCTCTCGATACACGATTCTGCCTCCTCTCCTCTCCTTCAGAGGCTGCTGCTGCTGCTGCTGCTGCTCTGCTCCTCTCGCAGCCTCCTTTGAGAGATCAAGCAGTGGGTCACGCGTGAGCGAGGATAAATGCATGTACGTGCGCCTACAGATGCTGGTCCACCCAGCAGCCGATAGGTGAACATTTCTAGAGGGTCCACAGTCGCTAATGCCGTCGTGCGGGGACTGATGAAAGTCCTGAGGGCCTTTAGCCAAATAGGAATATGGGTGGCGATGGTAGCGGTGGTGGCGGTGACGGGAAACGTTAAATCAAGGGCCAGCCACTCGTTTCCCTTGGCGCGTCCTCGCAGGAAGACAAATGTCACGCGAGGAAGGGTCCTCTCTCTCTCTCTCTCTCTCTCTCTCTCGCTCTCTATCCATCTCTCCTACTCTGTTGCTCGCCACGTAGATGCATGGTCTACGTCAGTAAATCAACCTGGGTGATATTAAAAGGCCGCTTATACGCGAAAACATAAGATTTATTTCTGGAAACGGGACGCGCCGGCGGAGTTGCCGAGGCTACACGGGCTGCACGGGCTACACGGGCTACACAGGCCGCATACGCAGACTGCAGAGCCGCAGCCAGGATGGGCGAAGCGGCCCGAGGAACCGGCGAAGGGATGGAAGGAGGAAGGACTGAATGGGGAAGGTGGAGAACCAGGAGGAGGAGGAGGAAACAGAAACGGGGTCGTAGGGCGCGTGGCCAGCGTTTGCCTAGAGAGAGAGAGAGAGAGAGAGAGAGAGTAAAGGGGAAAGAGAGTGGCAGGAATCCCTCGTATCTCAAATAATCGTGTCGCTCGTGGAAAGTGGTCTGTTCGAGCTAATATCGAGTCGCGGAAAAAGATCGAGGGGTCGAAATATATTAGCCCTCTGCGGCCTCTCTCTCTCTCTCTCTCTCTCTCTCTCTCTCTCTCTCTCTCTCTCTCTCTCTCTCTCTCTCTCTCTCTCTCTCTCTCTCTCTCTCTCGGCACATCTCCCTCCCACGTCCTCTTTCCTCCTTCATTCTCTGCCTTGAATCTGCATGAAGCGATGGATGTGGAGCAGAAGCACGTTTTTCCAGCCAAGGCGGAAAGACCGTTGGCTCGCGAGCAGCCGAGGAGCAGCGCCGCGGTTGATTAAGGCCCATGAGGGCTGTCACCGGGATCGCTCGTGCATAGAACAGGATATTATGTCCCAGCTTCGGATAATAAGATTCCAACCGCAATCACTCGGCTGCTCCTTATTTCTCTTTTGTCTTTACTATCTCGACACCCAATCCGCGACTCGGCGCTGCGCGTCGCCTGCAGTCATTGCAATCCTTCCAATCCTTCCAATCCTTCCAATCCTTCCAATCTTGACAATCTTGACAATCCGCGCAACAGCATCGGCTCCGCGAGTTAAAATCGGCCGTTCAATTTTTCCCGACTTCTCAGGGGACGATTCCTTCGGCACGCAGCGCGTCCATCCTGCGGCGTCCTGGAATCGCAGTTCGGAGTCGGCGGGACAAGCGGAAAACTCGGAGCTTCGAAATTCCCATTCTCCGGCGCGCTCGAGCGAAGAGCGAGCATGTTTACCCACATCTCCGTATCTCGGGGGAGCAATATCGTTCGGGGATGGAAAAATTCGGCGACAGAAGTTAAACAAAGCGACAGGGAAAAAAAAGCGTAAAGCGCGACGCAACCGTCGGCGGAGCTGCTTCCCAGGATCTGCTGGAAACCAGGACGAGGAGAAGGACGAGAACGGAAAGCGGGTTGCGTAGGTAGTATCATCTCGCACGGTTTCCGGCCTGGTAGTAGATTGGCCACTGAGGGGTGGCCAAGGGGCGGCCAGGGGGCGGCCAGGGAGGGACGATGGAGGGAGCTCCGCTCCCGTACGTTAATAAGGGGATCAACGGTGACCATCCCCCCCATCCCCTCTAGCCTTCTCTCTGTACGTCTGTTTGAACAAGCCTCATAATTAATACGCATTCGCTTTTACGCCGTTCGCCAAAGGACTCCGAGCGAAGAGGGTGCTGAGCGAACAATTGGCCCAATGGCCAATAGCTGCCGTGGCAGGAGCTCTTCTCCCGTTTATATTTTTACATGACGGCTTGTGCTTCCTTCTCCCTTCGTTCTCCCTCGGAAAGCGCAGATCAACCGGAACCTCCACCTGGATGCGCTGGATAGGTTGCGTCAGTGGTTGGGAGACGCGCAGGAGATATCTGTCTTTAAGGACATTATCTGGATTCTCGCGGCGAAGGGGGGTCGCAAAAACCGTCCGCCCCCTCGTAGTATGTGAAAAATGATGCACAACCCCAATCCCTCCAGTGGAGCTGGGAGAGCACCCTCACCCTCACTCATCCTCTTCTCTCTCTCTCTCTCTCTCTCTCTCTCTCTCTCTCTCTCTCTCTCCCTCCCTCTCTTCTCACTTTCCGTCCTCTGACGCCGTCGAAATTCAGCCCCAGAAAATTCCCCGAGGATCGGTGCCTTCCGCGACGTCCCTGACCCGCGGCCCTGCATTATTCCGAACGATTAAGAGCCACGGCACAGCTTCCTCCGGAGACACCGAGCACATCTCGATTCTTCCTACGTGAAGCGCCGATCGTTCGATCGACTTCGGATTAGACTGATCCTGCTTCTCCCGCGGGACGGGAAACGCGGACTTCCTCGTCCCTATGCCACAGGCCCTCGTCCTTGTGCGCGCTCTCGCCGGCCCTGCGCCCACGAGCGATTAAACGATTATTCCAAAAACAATGGCAGTCTGTCTAATTGACTGGATGCCGTGAACTCGAGTGACGACGGCAGCAGCCAATCGGCATCGCGGAAACGCGGCGATACAATTTCTAAATACTTTGGATTGACGTTAACGATGAGATGAATCTTACGTCAAAGGGAGCTCGGTGACATGGGAAACCGACAAACGCGTGTTGCGTTATCGATAGTCGACGTTTTCTTACGTCAGGGCCAGCCACGCTGTTGGGTGGGTTACCTTTGGTAAAAAGTTTTGAAATTTCCAATGAAGGTGCTTTAGGAGATTAATAGAGTCTCGTAAACTATGACCTGTTCTTTATCGACTGATTGGTCAATGTTTATTTTTTGACAGATTCGTGGAAAATCATCCCAGGCCACCGCCGAAGTCCATCAACAATGGGATTCTGCTGTGCGAGAGTCACAAGGGCTTCGTCTACCAGCCTTCGGCCTACAGTGACATGTAAGTGCATCGAGAAACGTCGGATTCGTCCTTGGAGTAAATTATCTTAATCGGGATCCCGATCGAGAGAGGAGAGTCTTGGGTTGCAGAGTGCATTATAAAGCGAAAGTGCCTGACCTCCGGAGAGAGCTTTCATCCGGCATGTATCCCCGGAATCTCCGGCCCCATAGAATTGTGAGAAGGAGTCAGGGTAGGCGAGTAGGCAGGCAGAGACCGTTGCTGCGTGATGGATACGCCGAAATGTCAGGCACACGCCCCGGGCCACTGGCTTCCAACCCCCTGACCATTATGCTAAGCCATTGTCCACTATCTGGCTAAGATAGCGACGGCTTAAGTCAGCCCTCTTCTGCGGGGAGACACTGTTAAAAAATCACTTTTCTCCGCGAGACCCTTTAGCGCGAGCAAATTCATCCCCCCCCCCCCCCCCCCCCCC